TTCTCCTCGTTCCCTTGCACCTCTGCCATGTTCCTTCTACCAAATCCAACGGAAGATGTTTATGCTTTTTCCAGATATCCCAGACTGAATCTATATTCCTTAGCAGCTGTCTGTTGTCCGCCCAACATAAATCCTGGTTCTAACAGTCAATATGTGCCAAGCCGTTGCTTTAGTCATCAAACTCTATTTGAACTTGAATGTCACGTGACTCACCTTATTCTTACCTCCCTGGTTGAGTTTAAGCCTCAAACCGTTTCTTATTGGCTTTTGTATCAACAGATTTGTACACATTTTCCCATTTTGCTTCTAACATCTAGGAACATCACTATCCATTCAATTCTTTCTATACCCAGCTTGCTTTCTACTCAAATGCACTCAACGGTTTTTACCATCCAACTTCCAGTCAAAGAGGTGCTAGCGACATATTGAGAAGGCGCAAATTTAGCCTTTGAATCGATCTACGCTTCATCTTCAGAGTGCATAGCTAGTTAATCTTCTACATATCCATTCTACAGCATTGTTGCTGTCAGCAAATAGAACTTTGAATCACTCGAGTGTATCAATCTAAATGTGCAACCGCTTTATATATCTTCAACGCCTGCTTGGCCAGAACTGCAACGTTTGATATCCAGAGTCCTCTTGAATATTTCCATAAGAAAATCAACGCTTTCTCTGTTCTCTTAAACCCCAAGTCGGGAGACCAAATATAATCCATCTCGGCCCGTCTTTAGCATCAGGCCAGTGCGGGGCAAATGGTACCCCAGGGTTCCATATTTCCAACTGCATATGCGCTTCCAATCGTTCATATATAGACAAGACATTGTTCGAGTAGTAGAGTGCCAAACAACGCCCCAGTGGAGAGTTCTGTTGGTATTTTGGGCTTGCTAATAGTCGATCATTTAAGTAGACCATTCAATGTCTGTTCTAACCAACTAATCAGTATATGTACACTTGAAAAAGAGAGTATACCACTTTTTTTATTGTCAAGCTTAGACCGAGTTTCGGGCCGCAATCCCGATACTCCTAATGATATTGTACTTGCGCATCATGGTGAGCACTTTAAATATAAACTCTTATATTTCTGTTCCAGGTATTGTCAGCGGGGTGAATCTGTCCTATCCCTGACATTTGATCTGGGACGACTGCCAGATCTTCCCGGGGTCAATGGAATAGTGGGCCAGCTTTCCACGCCTTTACAGCGCCCAGTGCGGATTCTAGCCGAGATAAGTATCGATATCTGAAGATCCATGTCAGTTAGACGCCCCGGCTTCTTCGTATTGACTTCATAGAAGAATTTACAGCTAGGTATGCCTTGTTGTTGAAGTTTTACGTAGCTATGTGGGAGATGTTTATATTGAGGAGACGAACCACAGTATGGCAGCAAGATCCGGTTTCTGCCGTGCCCCGCGGCCCCCGCCAAAATATTTAAACGCTCAACCTCTGATTTCTACCAACATCTACAATTATTCGACGTCGCCTCTGCCTCAGATACCTAGCTACCGACATAATTCTCCTTGTTTAACCTACAGGAACGCGCAATCAACATTCACCATGGCTCGCAAATTCTTCGTTGGCGGAAACTTCAAGATGTGAGCCACCCCCACCTCAATTATTTACCACGATACACGGGCATAAAGTAATAGCTGACTGGATAACAGGAATGGAACATCTCAATCAATCACCGACATCATTACCAATCTCAACAATGCAAAGCTCGACGCCAACACCGAAGTGGTTATCTCTCCTCCGGCCATCTATCTTCTCCTCGCCCGCAGCCAAGCAGACGACAAAATCGGAGTTGCTGCGCAGAACGTCTTTGATAAGCCAAACGGTGCTTTCACTGGAGAGCTTAGCGTCGATCAGTTGAAGGATTCCAAGATCTCCTGGACTTTGACTGGACACAGTGAGAGAAGGGTTATTCTTAAGGAGGACGACGATGTAGGGTTACTTCACGCCAGCTATCAGGTATACTGCGGAGCTAACCAACTGCTACTTGTGGCTCTAGTTTGTTGCGCGCAAGACAAAGGCCGCCGTGGAGGGTGGATTGAACGTCATTGTCTGCATCGGAGAGTCCCTCGAGGTATGGACTACCATAAAAACTGGAAATTTCAGACCGATGCAGTAAACTGATATTATACCCTTTCAACAGGAGCGAGAGGCCAACAAGACCGTTGAAGTTGTTACCCGACAACTACAAGCTGTTGCTGACAAAGTCACTGAACAGCAATGGTCCAGAATTGTCATTGCTTATGAACCCATCTGGTATGTTCATTAATCAGATTTGGTAGTAAAGATTCAAAGTTGATCTAATGCATTATCTAGGGCTATCGGAACCGGAAAGGTCGCTACTACTGAGCAAGCTCAAGAAGTCCACGCTTCTATCCGTGAGTGGCTTTGCAAGACCGTTTCTCCAGCTGTCTCTGAGGCTACCCGTGTTATCTATGGAGGAAGTGTCAACGAGAAGAACTGCACTGAATTGGCTAAGCAGAAGGACGTTGACGGGTTCTTGGTTGGAGGCGCCAGCTTGAAGCCTGCCTGTAAGTCACCCCATACTATAGGTCCAGAAATAAGCAGCTAACAACAGTAATAGTTGTCGACATTATCAACTCCCGCTTGTAAACATATTATACAAGAAATGATGGCTTGGATACTGGTGGTACAATAAATGTCTAGCAGTGGCATCTGCTTGAAAGACAAACGGTGTGGTATTCACCAGGGTGTCCCTAATGTTAAATAGAGACCATTAAATATAGTTAACGTGTCAATAATCTATCATTACCCAAAGACTGGCAATTGACCTCATTACTTTAGTAAACCGCAGAGGGGAATGGGCTTGCCCTTATAAAATCGATGGTATATGAAAAGATGTAATGAAACTAAATCGTGGTTGAATCATGATGAGTATAACACGGACACACCCACACCGGTCCATCCGTAGCCTTTAGACGAAGACCCACCCGAGCACGATATCGATGGGGTATGTGGAGTGGTTGGCCCAAGTGCAACTCCGGCACTGACCAGCAAGTCCTTTATACGGCCTTCCCAAAGTAGCCGTACTTTTAGAGACTGATCAACACGAAGTTTTATGACTGATTCTGAAGACAGAGAAGGAACTGAAGGCGATGACGACGACGACGACTGATCTGTGGGTTCTAACGGTGGCAGGAGACCCAACTTTCGCTTCGCCCAAGCCAGATCATCAATGCTTCCGTCGGGGTTGTAGTGATGCAAATTTATCTTCTTCTTATTGCGCCATAATTCACATCCAGCAACCATTTCACTTTCCCAGCTATACACGTTGAATCCAAAACGAGAACTCAAGGCCAGATTTGGGGAAGCGAGAAGCGAGTAAGTCGTTGACAAAGAGCCCGTTAATGGAGTCAACGTTAGAGTTAGCGTATAGGGAAATGTTGAGATTGGGGAAGGGATTTGGCTGCCAGTAGTACTGCCTACAGCAGGTAAGGTGCCCGGTCCTGACCGAAGGTCATAAGCACCCGGCAATGTAGTAAAGCGCACACCGGTCGAAAGGCCAATGACACTAGAAGTTGGTGAATAATAAGCCTCTCCGCCTGCAGAGAGGAGTGCCACTGATTGCAAACAAGACGGCTTTTTCCGCTGGCCATTGTTTTTTGTATCGCGACGATCACTCGGCTGCTCTCTTGGATCAGGACCAAAGTTCCATAATCCTCGGAATCCGAATAGGGCGTTGTCTGTACTGAATAGGAATTCAGTGCTGTATTTTCCGGTGTCGTGGAATAATTGAGTTAGCAAGGATGCCTGTGGAGGTGCCGATTTCGATGTATTGGTAGCCTGAGTAGACCATAATGCAACTGATAGCTTGGTTGTTGGTGAAGGACGATGTAGAAAAAGAGCCGTTAACGTGGTTGGAGGAGGTAAATGTAGCGTCGCATGAAGAAGGGTGGCTTTTCTCTTCCTCTCTGATACCTCTGCGTCTCCAATATTGTTGCTATCCCCAAAGGTCCATTCCAAGCCAGGGTCTAGCGGGACAGCAGGGGGATATATCTGTCTGTAGCCTGGGACAAGGCTGCGCAGGGGTATCAAGGCGCTTCTACTGGTTGTCTTGTCGAGAGGTATGGTGCTGAATAGGTATGAAACTGAGCCATCTATGAGGCCAACCGTCCCGAGCGTGTAGGCAGTCGCAAACTGGGGAGTGGACAGAGACGAGAGGTGGACGCGAAGTCGCTCCGGGGTTGAAAAGTCAAGAAGAGCTACATTCATATGTTAGTAATTCATTTCCACTGCAAGATGGCTAATATCTGACATCAATCTCCAGTACCTTTTGCTGTGTCTGTAAGAGTAGAGTATGAGTTATCGCGGTTCCATCCCGAAGCGTCCGAGAAGGCGAGCTGGATGTAGTCCATAAAATCAAGCATTTTATCGAGGCCGCCAGACGACTGAGAAACGCGAACAAGGACCAATGGGCCTTATCGTGGTCTGGCAGTCCTTATGCAGCTGTTCTTGTCGCTATTCGATGGTCCCGTCGTTCCCCTGGTGGTGATAGACACACGCCGGAGGATGTTTGTCATGTTTGCACCGACGACGAGTCTCGACCTTTTCCCTGACGACGAGGCATCCTGACAGTTGATACCAGGGAGAAAGCCGCTACACTGCCGGGTTTATACAGTTAATGCTCCCCGGAATGCTCTGCCTTATAACTAACGGATATGTGTCTCAATCTGATGCCTGGATGCTCTTATCTCTCAATTCCTTGTCTGCTCAAAGCAAGCCCATTGTCTCGCGTGTGGTCCGATTCCTCCCCTCTCCAGTTTTAATCAACGTTCCCGCTACTTATCTCTTCCCTTCGTCCGTCTCGGGTCCCCGGATACCATAGCTAATATCATAGCTTGCTATAGACCATCTCTCACTACCGGTTTACTCGGATTGCCACGGCCAGGTCTCGCCGAACGGAACTGCCGCTATGAAACACAGCAAAGTCATTCGACAGGGAATTGCAGGTAAAGATGGGATGTCACAGGGTGCCAGACGACACTGGCCGGCATCAAACGATATCAGCGACGCCAGCACTCCCTAAAGCGCGCCCTCCTTCACCCTCGTCGCCCGCACCAAACAAAGACGCCTGGCCAGC